ATCACAACTTCCAATAGATACCCAGTTCCTTAGAAAGTTCAGCTCAAGCTGATTGTAGAAGAGTCCAAAATCAGAAAGTTTAACAAGAAAAATAAATGCACAAAAATATTGGACAACTTCCTACAATAACTTACTGGCCAGCTTCCTACAATGAATATTGGCTAGCTTCCAAATATTAGGTGGATACTTACCAAATCAAATAAGAAACAATTGATTCCATCTAGTAATATATATCTTCATATACAAACATATATACTTACCATAAAGATCTTAGTTTATATAGTGCGTAAAATATATACTTAAAAGTTTCTTGCGATACTTGCCGATTGAGACAGAGCCTCTTGTGTGAATTCCAGGAGTGACTTCTCGTCCACCATAACGATTCTTTGAATTTATTTCTAACCTCTCAACAGTCTTAGCATCTCCCAAAAGTTGAGTCCAACGTTCCCACACATTATGAGGTACATAGGATGACTTAGTATTGCGGGTTTTTTTTAGAAATGAAATCCCTTAACCTGGTTGTTGCCTTAACATCCCTTTGTCTCCTTACTACACCTTCATTAATTGAAGAGTCCCACTAGAAATGTTTCTGAAATAAAATTTTCAAATTAAGTGATGCATTAATATCCTATCTATAAAAGTGAATAACTTTCAAAACTCAATTATGATAAAACCAATACCTTGAATTCTCCCAAATATCCATCTCTTATATCGTTTGAGACACCTTTCTAATTGATTCCATACATCACACCGGAAACTAGTAGGCTAAACTAGAGCTTAACATGAGGGTTATAGTCTTGAATGTAACTCCCCATACTTAAAAATAGAGGGTTTCATGTTAGAACGTCAAGGTACGCTCCCCAAAGACCAGCCATAGGTCCTTTTGGAGGGACCCTGAAAATTACCCAGAGGCAGTGGACCACGGCAAGACCCACGCCTTATGGGTCAATCCGCGCCCGTGGGTGAGGGGCCATAGGTCAGGCCCTGAAACCAAGTCTCTATTCCACAACCCACGCTTCACCAGCACGGGTCGTGGGTCCAACCACGGTCCGTCAGTGAGGGTCTCATGGATGGGGACAAACTCTCTGACCATGAACCACACCAAACTAGGACGGGCCGTGGTTCCATACACGGTCCGTAGGTCATGGGTCCGTGGTTAGGCCTGGAAACTGCTCTTTGGTGGTTAAGTTTAGGGGCACTCTGGGTTTTCCGATTTTAATTAATATTAAGTGATGTCGTTTTAGCCTAAATTAGATCACCTATATAAGGATTTAAACCCCCTCAATTATGTCATTCACCTCATTATTTCTAAAACTCAAACCAATTCCCAAAACTTTCTCCTCTCCAAAAATTCTCTCTCTAAAAAACTCAAAGAAGAAGAAGAAGAAGTTGAAGGTTAGGGTTGAAGAAGCAAGAAGATTTACATCAAATTCATAGGGTTTTCTGATTTAGGTATGGTGGTTTTCATCCATGGAGCCGTCTCAAAATCTTCAATTTCAAATGGTAGGTTTCCCCAATTAGCTAGGATTTGTTCATACACCATGGGTTCTTTGATCTAATGATTTTAATTGTTTAATTATGTCTAAATATGCACAATTTGATGATCTACAATGCTTTTATCATATTTCCCATATGAATCCATGCAAGTCCCGATATTTCTCTAAATTGTGATCTCATATGTTGGGTTGTTGATTGAGACAGAGGTGTTTTTATGATCTAATGTATGAATGGATAGAATTACATGAAATTATGATGAAATCCCTATCCAATTCTTAAATTCTAGACTTGGTGATTGATAATGGCTTTGAACGTTGGAAGGAAAACTGTGAGTTTATGCATGATATTATGAAACTTATGTAAATGCTATGAAGGTGCTTTGAGAGTAAAGTGACAATGCTGATTGTGTTGTTTTTTTGTTGAAAAGTCATTCTAATGAAACACTTACAACCATTATGTGAAAGGTTTTCTCACATGGAAAGGATTCTTAGGTTGAAATGCTATTCTCACCTAATTGAATCAATGAATAAGAGCTATCCTAATGAACTAACTTGGATTGATTATCAAGGACATTCTTCCAAAAGACATGAGTTAAGTAGGACTTAATTAACTATTCCATGGTAATTATGCTTAGCACCGACTGGATATTGACAATGAGATGGAAGCTCTCCCATTAGTAGAGGTCGGGTTTCTAGAAGAGGTCTCATGAGATAGAAGCTCTCCCGATAGTAGAGTCCGAGTTTCTAGTTGAAATCTCCATATCCCATAGAATATGTGCCCCCATAGGTTATTTAGCTAGTGGATAAACCTAAGCTAAGAGTTCATGGTTCTACCTTAGGCAAGTAGAACAACCCTTTTCGGTGTAGGAGACACCGGGTGATCATGTTTTAGCTCACATGGTCTCTATGTCGGTTAAGGCTATTCTCCCACAATAAGAAAATGAATAATGAACTGTGGTTACTAAAGACACTTTGATTATGAGTTCAAAGGTTTTAATATGGTATTGACTTATGTTGTCAATGATTATGACTTATGACTTCTATTGTCTTATATGATGTTCAAACTTGGAAAATGGCATGCTTTCAAATGAAATGTCCCTTTTCACATGTTTTTAATGTTTTTATGCATGGCTATCATACTTTGTACATTTTTGTGCTAACACCTACTTTTCCTACATTTCCCCAAGTGTAGGTTCCGGTTCTCGAGGTGATCATTCTAGTGGCTAGTGCTTGGGTTTTGCTGCCTTCCGAGCTTGTTGGTGAGTCCTTATGGTTCGAGGATGGATTTTTTTCTCATGATGTAGTTTCCTTTATTGAATTACCATTTTTGGACATGTTGTATGGGCTATGCCCTATTTCATTCAAGTATTGTAATAGATGGCTATATTGAGACAAGTCTAGTCTTCCACTTTCGTTTGTGAAAATCTTTTAAGACTTCAAATGTGTGTTTACTCTTTATTGTTCTATGCTTATGTTATGATATGCTAAGTAGCTTACATGGAGCCTTTCGGGGTTCTATGTGCCTTGTTACACCTAGGAGGTACCCTGGGTCGTGACAAACTTTGTAATCAGAGCACAATGTTTAGAATGATTCTAGGATGATGTCTCATAAGCTACTTCTAGTAGAGTCTTGTTCATGAGTGTGAAGCACGCCACACTTATGAGTGAGAGGTTACAAGATGTATAGGAAATTTCACTTCTTCATCACTCTTAAGATGTGCCTTAGAGTTTAACTCTAAAAGATTTCTCTTTCCTAATCCTTCTATTGTGTCTTCAGGATATGAATACACGAAGGGCTAATGATAGAAGGATAGAAGAGGACAATGTGAATCAATGAGCTCCTCCTTAAGCTCCCCAAGCCCTGATAGATCCTTTGGTTGAGAATGTGACCCATGTGGAGTTTATGTTGGCTTTCCAGATATAGGCTTAAGCCGTGACGACACAAACCAATAGAGAAGTTGTAACTCCGGTGAATCCTAATTTAACCCATACTAATTTTTCCTTACGATCCAAGACTATATATTATTTGATTTTTTTCTCCTCTCACGGCTTCGTAATATGCTTCAGATTGATCAATATAAAAATTTGTGCCAAGTGATCAAACCCAATACGATTTCCAAACACGTACATCCAACCCCCAAATCACCCTATGCCCAAGTGCAAGTAACAATAGGTTAGTTCTACTCAAGACTTAGAACTACCCATTATAAAACACATATAGTACTTCACTTTCACCACAAATCGCAACCATGACCACCTATTAACACAAATATACCAAAACAACACCACCCTTCCTCAATGACTAATAATCGCGAGAAAGTAGAGCGGAGAACATACTTGAGATGTTGAAGGAGATGGAGAATGAGAGAAGAGGAGGCAGAATTGGCTTCGCGTTACGGATTGAACTATGAAAATTTGCAAGGGGAGAAGGGAGGGAGAATAATCGCTAAGAGAAAAGGGAATTTGGGAGAAAAGTGGGGTTTGGGGACGAGAATTAAGGGAATAAAAAGGTGTGGGTCAGGTATTTTGAAGACAGATAAGTAAAACCCGTCTTTTTAATGAAGAAATGAAAATACTCACCTAGTAGCGCGATGTAGGGCTATTATGTGGCTCATTTATTTTTGACGGAAAAATAACTTCCACGTCAAACCAAAATTTCAGGCACTCTTCGCGACGCGGGACGGTCACAGACCGTTCGGCCTCGCCCTAGAAAATTAATTCCAAGCAAAGTGAAATTCACCCAAGCTCTGTGACGCGCTCCCATTATGTAGTGTTCTACCTCAATTTCCAATGAGAAATTTGATTCTTGTCGAATTCAAGTTTCATGGCCACCTCCGCGACGCGTAGTGATTTTTCAAACCTGTTCCCTAAACATTTTAAGCACAACACTCATTAGTGTAAACACGATGAGTTGCCTCCCATCCAGTGCCTTAGTTTTGGTCGTGGCACAATTCGTATTTTTGTATTTTTCTTGATATATCATTTTTTTACTAATTCCTATGAATTGAAATAACAAAAAGAAAAGAATAGAAATCCTAATTATTACAAGGGGTCATGGGTTACCTCCCGTGCAACGCCTGATTTAACATCGCGGCAAGACCCAGTTCATGACTCAATCGTCATACAATGTGAGCACTTCATACTCACGATCCACATCATTCCCGAAGTAGTGCTTCACTCGTTGCCCATTCACATGAAAAGTAGAGCTCTTATCCTTGTTTCTTAGCTCCATGTTGGGTCATCCTCACAACTTCAAACGGTCCACTCCACTTAGACCAATGTTTTCCGAGGAACAACTTCAATCTTGAATTAAACAGCAACACCAATTGTCGAGGCTCAAAGGTGCGTGACACAATATGCTTTTCATGCCACCTCTTGGTCTTCTCTTTGTATAGCTTGGCATTTTCATACGCATGGAGCCTGAATTCCTCTAACTCATGAAACTGTGTTTTCCTTTTCTTTCCTGCTAACTCAGAATCCAGTATGCTTTATAACCTTGATAGCCTAGTATGCTTTATGCTCAAATTCCACTGGAAGATGACATGCTTTTCCAAACACTATTTGATAAGGAGAAACCCTTATCGGTGTCTTGTATGTAGTTTGGTATGCCCACAAAGCATCATCTAACTTTTCAGCCCAGTCTTTTCTTTGGGAATTCACAGTCTTCTGCATAATTTTCTTTACTTCCCTATTGGATACTTCCACCTGCCCACTAGTCTGGGGATGATACGTTGTGGCTACCTTATGTCTTACTCCATACTTGGCCAACAGATTTCGCACTGAACTATTGATGAAGTCCGTCCCTCCACTACTTATCATCACTCTTGGAGTCCCAAACCTGGTGAAGATATGCTTCTTGATGAACTTTACTACCACCTTCGCATCATTAAAAGGTAGAGCAACTGCCTCTACCCACTTGGACACATAGTCCACTGCCATTAGGAAGTACTGATTTCCATTGGAAGATGGGAATGGTCCTATGAAGTCTATCCCCCATACATCAAAGATCTCAACTTCAAGAATGCTGCTCAGTGGCATCTCATGCCTTCTAGAAATAGTGCCCATCCACTGACACTAATCACAACCCTTCACAAAAAATGCAGCATCCTTAAATAAAGTAGGCCAAATGAAGCCAGATTGCAGTACCTGATGTGTCGTGCGCTCGTCTCTGTGGTGTCCATCATATGGTGAAGAGTAACAACTCTCCAACACTTGCAATTCTTCATGTTCAGCTATGCACCTTCGCACCATTTCATCAGGTCCCTGCTTGAATAAGAAAGGCTCATCCCATATATAAAATTGTGCCTCATACTTCAACCTCTGCTTTTGATGTGTTGAGGCCCTAGGTGGAAATAAACACCTCACCAAAAAGTTCACAATATTAGCATACCAAGGTACATGTGCAAGGTCCAAGGCCAACAATTGCTCATTGATGAACTCTTTACGAATTTGTCCTTCATTTCACACATGAGATAAGTCCTCTAATAGAGACAGATGATCAGCTATCTGGTTCTCAGTCCCCTTCATATATATAATCTCTAGATCAAAATCTTGCAAGAGTAGTATCCATCTAATTAGCCTTGGCTTCGCATCCTTCTTGTTGAACAAATACCTGATTGCAGCATGGTCAATGTAAACAACAACCTTGGTGCCTACCAAGTATGACCTGAACTTATCAAAGGTAAATACCAATGCAAACATCTCTTTCTCCGTGACAATATAGTTAGATTGAGCTGCATCAAGTGTCTTGCTAGCATAGTAGATGGAGTGAAACATTTTCTCCTTATGCTGCTGTAGCACTGCACCAACCGTTATATCGATTGCATCACACATGAGCTCGAAAGGCAACTCCCAGTTAGGAGCAATCAGAATATGAGCTTCTATCAATTTCTTCTTCAATAGCTCAAATGCCTGCAAACACTTCTCATCAAATACAAACTTCACCTTTTTTTGAATAGGCTGCACATGGGTCTTGTAGTCTTAGAAAAGTCCTTGATGAATCTTCTGTAGAACCCAGCATGTCCCAGAAAGCTTCTAACTCCTTTTATAGTGATGGGTGGTGGCAATTTCTCAATGACTTCCACCGTGGCTTTATCAACTTCCAGCCCATTTGTTGAGATTTTGTGCCCTAGTACAATCCCTTCTCGAACTAAGAAGTGGCACTTCTCCCAGTTCAACACCATATTTGTCTCTTCACATCTTGCAAGAACCCTGTTAAGATTAGTAAAAAAAAAATCAAAAGACTCACCAAACACCGAGAAGTCGTCCATACACTCCTCAACAAAATCCTCCACCATATCATGAAAGATTGCCATCATGCAACTTTGGAATGTTGCCGGTGCATTGCATAATCTGAATGGCATACGTTTGAACGTATAGGTGCCATACAAACAAGTGAAGCTAGTCTTCTCCTGATTCTCTGGTGCAATGACAATCTGATTATATCTTGATTAGCTATCCAGGAAGCAGTAATATTCTTGCCCCACCAGTCTATCCAACATTTGATAAATAAATGGCACCGAATAATGGTCCTTCCTAGTGGCATCATTCAACTTCCTGTAGTCTATGCAGATATGCCACCCAGTTACTGTCCTAGTGGGGATCAATTCATTCTTCTCATTTGTTATCACCGTTATTCCGCCCTTCTTGGGCACACAATGTACCAGACTCACCCATTTACTGTCAGATATTAGGTACACAATGTCTGCATCTAACCACTTGATCACCTCTTTTCTTACCACATCCTTAATCACTGGGTTCAGTCTCCGTTGGTGTTGTGCACTCGACTTATGCCCTTCCTCCATATAAATCTTGTGCATACACAATGCGGGACTTATCCCGTGAATGTCAGACATTTCCCAACCTAGTGCTGTTTTTCTCTTCCTCAAGATACTCAATGTTGCTTCCACCTGTGATTCAGATAGTGCCGCAGACAGAATAATTCACCCAAAAATGCATACTTGAGATGGGCTAGCAATCTTTTAAGCTCCAGCTTGGGTGCTTCTTCGATGGACGGTTTGGGTGGAGGACCCAACACCCTGTTCAAAGGCTCCCAGTGATCTCTTGACATGCCCACACTTGACATATCCAAAAACTGTACCATTTCCTATGCTTCAGCATCCCCATATATATCATCTCCCACTAACACATGCTCCAACGGGTCCTTGGATGCAATATATCAAGCTTTTGCTTCAAGATCTATCACCGTTATTGCAGACAACTCTTCATACACGGCTGGGAGTTTCAGCACCTTGTAAACATCAAACACCTCCACTTTGTCTTGTCACCGCATAGTAAGTTGCCCAGCTGCTACATCTATCATAGCGCGCCCTATAGCAAAGAAAGGTCTCCCCAAGATGAATGGAACCTCAAGATCTGGCTTTAAATTTAGCACCACAAAATCTATTGGGAATATCAAAGATCCCACTTGCACTAAGACATCTTCTACAACACCCTCTGGCCTAGCAAAAGATCTATCTTCCAACTGCAAGATAATGTACCCTACCCTAAATTTTTGTACAACGATATTGGACTTAAGTTTATACTAGCTCCTAGATTACAAAATCCTTGCACATGGATTCTCTGTCCTATAGTGGTCTAATTGTAAAGCTACCCGGATCTTTCAGTTTGGTGGGCAACTTATTTTGGATTCGGGAGCTGAACTCTTCCGTAAGTGCTATAGTCTCATATTTAGTCAGCCTCCTCTTATTTTCCACGATATCCTTCACATACTTTGCATACCTAGGTATGCCCTGAAAAACATCTACCAATGGCAAAATAATATGAACTTGCTTTCGAAGAGAGAGGAACTTACCAAAACATTCATCCTCCTTCTATTTTTTAAACTTCTGAGGGAATGGAGGTGGTGGTTTCACTATTGGTTGCACTCTTTCTTCTTGTGCAACAACCTCACTCTCCTTGCTAGCAGATTCAACATTTCTTTTCTTCGGAGCCAACTCTTCCAACTGCAAACCACTGAATGTACCTACCGCATTCACTTGCTTGGGATTAGGATTAGTGTTTTCCGGCAAACCTCCTTGCGGTCGTGAGTTCTAGGCACTAGCAAACTGCCCGAATAGTGTCTCCATGTTTTAAGTAGCTAACTGATTATTTCTAACATCAGCAGCTAACTGAGATTGATCACCTGAGATCTTTTTCAACATCTCCTCCATGCTCATATTATTTGGCTTCTTATTGGGCTGCTCTCGTTACCTGTTGTTGATACCCATGTGCATTCCCCTGGGTCTATATTGATTCTGGCCTTAGGCCTGATTTTGATTACCTCCCCAGGAGAAATTCAGACGATTACGCCAACTAGGATTGTAGAAGTTTCCATAGTTCTAATGACCTCCTCCACGTTGTGCATTTCGTACAAAATTTATAGAATCCGGGTTTGCACCACATACCTCTGCACTATGATCTCCTCCTCCACAAATTTCACACCAAGTCGGTGGTTGTTGGACTGCGTTCACCTGAGCTGGTTGTTGTCCCATCGATAGGTTGCTGAAGTGAGTGTTCACCATGTTTTGCATTATAGCAATTTCACTACATCTACCTCCAACATTGCGGCAGTTTTCTGTATCACGAGTTTGGCTCCTCCTCCATTCCACTCGGTGTTTCCTTGTGAAATCCTATTCAGCAGGGTGAATAACTCAACATAAGTCTTCTCCAAAGCCTGTCCACCTGTAGCTGAATCAAGTAAAATCTTGGTATTCAGTTCCAATCCTTCAAATGAAGGTATGGACCAACACCTCGTTAGCCTGATGATGATGAAGATAGCTCATCAACATTAATTTAAACCTGTCCCAAGCTTGGTACAAGTTCTATCCTCCTTTTTGTCGGAAGCTTAGGATGTCGCTCCTTAACTTAGTTGTTTTACCTAGATGGGAAAAATGTAATAAGGAACTTCTGTGCAAGATCATCCCATGAGGTAATGGAGTTAGCGGGCTCAGAATTTAACCATCTTTTTGCTTCCCCTAGCATAGAAAAGGGAAATAACGTGAGCCTCACATAATCTACATTCACTCTAGCTAGAGTGTAAGTGTCACTAATCTCGAGGAAATTTTGGATATGGACTGTTGGATCCTCGTGCGATAAACTAGTGAATTGTCTATTTGTGTGCAATAGTTGTACCATACTCTGCTTCAGTTCAAATCTTCCACCAGCTTCAGGTTTCTGAATGCATGAAGTCACATTGGTGGTACGTGGGATTTCCATATCTCTTACTTTCATCTCAGCCATTAGTACATGTTCTTCTCGCTCAACTCTTGCTATAGGAGATGATGGTTCACTAGAAACAAGAGGGACTAGATAAGTGAGTCATCTTTGCCTTCTCCAGTAATGAACGAATCTTTCCGGTTCAGCTAGAGGCTCTACCAAGTCCTGGTCATCTTCCAGTTTGGAATTTCAACACAACCTTCAAAATGAATCGCTAAGATCAAGTTGTCAACACTTGCTTTTTAACTTCAGAAATTAGACAAATCAAATGCATTCTAATTCTAAAGTCACCGGCGGTGGTGCCAATAACCTGTTGCACCCAAATCGCACATGCAAGTGTACCTAGTTGTTCAAGTATTAAAGTGTCTCTTATGAAGAGCCGGGTATCGTACCAACAAAGACTTACAATTAGAATACCATGACTTTTCCAATACTTTTAGTTAAACATAAGCATTATCCAAGTTAAAAGAGTGATTGATTTTATAAACTATAATTCAAGTAAAAGTTAAGCAAACGTGATTCAACTTCTAAAGTATTTAAACAATGATTGGGCTAAGTCTAGGGCTGTAGCTCAATTAAGGAATCATGCACATTATCTTGTGAAACGGATATTCATGAACTCTCAAATCAATGATCACAGGGTTAACTGTATGATTATGGTCTCCCAACCCCTAATCGCCTACAATAAATGGCAACCTATCATTATTGTTGAGCCGGGATAGGTTGGACCAATTATCGAACATTACAATTTCTTCCTGTATAATGACCAAGCAAGGTTTGTAGGTATATCTCTATCCTAGATACAAATTAACTCTAATTTTTAAGAGAAAATCATGCTCCACATTCCCTACGTTCTATCCTCTTATTCCTCTCCCGAGTTCAATTCAGACAATATATTTATTTCAATGGTGATCAAGCATGAAATACGAAAAACAAGAACATAAGCGAGATTCATATGATAGTTAATAGCAATCCATAAAAACTTAATAAGTTACAATCATCATGTAGCCACAACCCTAGAACTAGGGAAATTAGCTACGAATAATCGTATTTTTGATCAAACAAAGTTTCAATGTCATAAATAGATCAAAAATTGAAGAGTTTAGGAAAGAACCCTAAAAACTGATGAAATAGCTCTCCAGATCATTGTTCTTCAAAACCCAAAAAAAGAATAATTAATAAAATAAAATCTGAGTCTATTTATACTTAGATCGAAATGGACAAAACTGGCATATAGGGGTGCAACGCGGAGGAGTTTCCCTATTTTAGTTTAAGAATCTTTTCTCTTCTCCGCGACGCGACTATGACACGGACCGTTCTGCCTCAACTTGTATTTCACGATGAAAAGGAAAAATCCCTCTCCACGATGCGGAGAGTATACAGACTTTCCTACACCGTTTTCCTATTTCTCCTTTCTGATGATTTTTTACTTGGATCCTATCGTGCTTCCCAATGCTTGTTTTAGTGCTCGTTTCTTCGTTCAAGCTTACCTACATAACTAATCATGTTGGTTAGTATTTATACAATAAAAAGACTCGACACGACTATAAATCAACAAAAAATGATTCTAAACTTGGCCGCAATGCGAGTAGTATTTGGTTCCTAGTAATATAAATACGCCAAAGATAAATAATGAACTATGGTTACTAAAGAGACTCTGATTATGAGTTTAAAGGTTTTAAGATGGTATTGAATTATGTTGTCCATGATTATGACTTATGACTTCTATTGTCTTATATGAGGTTCAAACTTGGAAAATGGCATGCTTTCAAATGAAATGTTCCTTTTCACATGTTTTAAATGTTTTTACGCATGGCTACCATACTTTGTACATTTTTGTGCTAACGCCTACTTTTCCTACATTTTCTCAAGTGTAGGGTTCGGTTCTGGAGGTGATCATTCTAGTGGCTAGTGCTTGAATTTTGCTACCTTTCGAGCTTGTTGGTGAGTCCTCATTGTTCGATCGCGGATTTTTTATCATGATGTAGTTTCCTTTACTATATTTCCATTTTTGGACATGTTGTATGGGCTAGGCCATATTTCATTCAAGTATTGTAATAGATTGATATATTGAGACAAGTCTAGTCTTCCGCTTTCGTTTATGAAAGTCTTTTAAGACTTAAAATGTGTTCTTACTCTTTATTGTTTTATGCTTATGTTATGATATGCTAAATGGCTTACATGGAACCTTTCGGGGTTTTATGTGCCTTGTTACACTTAGGGGGTACCCTTGGTCGTGACAAACTTGGTAATCAGAGCACAAAGTTTAGAATGATTCTAGGATGATGTCTCATAAGCCACGTCTAGTAGAGTCTTGTTCATGAGTGTGAAGTGCGCCACACTAATGAATGAGAGGCTACAAGATGTTTAGGAAATTTCACTTCTTCATTAGTCTTTAGTCGTGCCTTAGAGTTTAACTCTAAAAGATTTATCTTTCCTATTCCTTCTTTTGTGTCTTCAGGATATGAATACACGAAGGGCTAATGCTAGAAGGATAGAAGAGGAAAATGTGAATCACGGAGCTCCTCCTCAAGCTCCCCAATCCCCGATAGATCCTTTGGTTGAGAATGTGACCCCTGCGAAGTTTATTTCGGATTTCCAAATGTTGGATCAAGCCGTGATGGCACAAACCAATAGAGAAGTTGTAACTACGGTGAATACTAATTTGACCCATAGTAATTTTTTCCTTAGGATCCAAGTCCATAGATTCTTTCTTTTTTCTCCTCTTGCGGCTTCGTAATATGCTTTAGATTGATCAATATCTGTCTGAGACTCTATTTTTTCTCATAATATTTCTTCATATCTTTCCTGTAATAAATAGTAAAATTAATACATATTGTATCAAAAGTTGACTGGAAATTCGAAACACAAAAAAACTATCTTTGATTTAATATAAATTAAACACTTTAAAAGGAAAAGTCATTCTTGAACTGTTAAACAAAATTAGTCGTTGTTTTGTTAGTATATTTATATGTCAGAATAGAATATAGGCCTTCATATATCATTAAATGTAATCGTTAATGATGCCAAGATACAACAAAAATGCAATTTACTAGTTATTATAGATGCCATACCAAAAATCTAAAATGACATACTAGCTAAGAGTGTGGTGGGAACTCTGCCAGAGGACTCATTAACACATCTTCGAAATTTCCTATAATGTTCATATTAACTGCACATAAAGATACGTTGTTGTCATTTGTAATCGCCTTTAGCAGATCTAAATACACCATTGCACAAATGTCATGTATTTTATTTCTTGATTAAATAAAATACATTTATTTACTCAATATATCTATATCTATATTATCTTAAAAGCATGAACTCCTAACTTGAATGTTAAATTACTATAATATCCCTAACTTAGGTTGTGACTTTTTCGACGACTTGTCACTTTTCCGATAAGTTGTGACTTTTTTTCAAAAGGTTGTGATATCACGATTAGTTGTGACTTTTTTAACAAGTTGTGACTTTTCCAAAGAGTTGTCACTATTTTAAAAAGTTTTGTCTTTTCCAAAGTTTTGTGACTTGTCGGAAAGGTCATGATTTTTCAGATAAGACACAAAAATATATTTGTTCATACTACCCTTTGTTGACTATAAATAGAGGGACTTCTCTCATTTTTGAAAAAACATTTTTTCCTACTGTTCTACTCTTCTTCTTCTTCTTCTTGCATTTTAAATTTTTTTGTGTGATTTATTGTCGTTGAGTGAGTTCGAAGTTTAGCAGAATATGAGGTACCCCTACTCTGATAAAGTAAATCTTTTTATCCTAAAAAGGTTTATTTCATAACCTCGAGTACTTGAGGAAAATAATATATTTTTTATGATATCATAATTATTTTTTTGGTTAATATATACATTAGTATGTAATGTTGCAATATATGAAGTTAACATGATGTAGTCTAAATTCATTTGTTTTTGTTAACAATTTCTCTTGTGATGTAGATATATGTTTTTGAATATCTTTTTCTAAAATTTTGAGACTTGTCACGATTTGTGTTTGATGCTCAAAACAAAAGAATGACTTTATTTAGCAATACTACTCATGTGATTTAGACTCTCAGGAAGCTTGCTTCAAAATAGTTATTACTATATAAACATTGCCCTTTTGTTTTACTTATTTACTGTTTCTTAGAATTTCAGTGTTTTAGACAAAGAAAAGTTCATATGAATTGTAATAACGGCAATTGAAGTTTGTATTATTTAACTTTTTATTATTTATTTAATAGCTAATTTTATGAGATAAATATTTTTATTAATGCAAATATATATTAATGAGTTCCACTGCTTGCATACAGTCCCCTGGCAATTGTAAACAAATACTTTACACCACTAATCAACTTTATTTCTTCCCCGTGAAGCATTACTTATGCAACCTATTATTGGTTCACCTGCTCACATACAGTCCCCTGGCAATTTTAAACACATACTTTACATATATATGTTACTTCTAACCTTAGTTTAGCCGCACATTACATCTTAATGATACCCTCTTTTATGCATCGAATCCCTGCCTAATCTTGCAGATTTCAACCATTTGCTGCCCTCATCAATGGTACTAATACACAATAACGCCTAGAATTAACATTGTCGCTCTCATCTCCTAATGGTAGTCATCAAGGTCCAGCCCATATGACGACTGAAATTGAACTAGCAAAATGGAATGTACTGATAAACAAGATACAAAAACAGTCTGTTAATTCAGTGATAAGAGTCTTAATGATTTGAAGGGGTTCAATAATACCTTACAAGAATTCAAGGCATGAAGGAACTTTCAGAACAATAATATTAGTTAATGAAGAGGTAATAACATTGACATTTTTATTTACCTTATTATCTTATCGTTCATGTTTATTGCACTTATATCCCCACCCCTTTGCATAATACTAGGTACAAAAATTCAAGCAACACTATTTAATAAACATATCGAAAGATGGAAGGACTCCTTGAAACCAATAAGAGTTACTACATTGCTAAAGGACGTTTAGATCATGTCAACCCCAACTACCATTCCGTACATAAAGAAGTTGAATTGGCATTTACAGATAACACAATCATAAAGGCGATTGACATTGAGGTTTCAACACACAGATTCTCTGATGGGTTTGTATCATTGGATCATGTCGATAAATTACCTAATAATGCTATTCTAGGTAACTATCCACCCAAACAATTTGTTATTTAATTTCATGCTCTATTACATAATCACTATCACTAATTTATATTACCTATTCTAATATTTGATTTGCGTTTTAGTTTCAATGAATCCCCTAATTGAAAAAGAACAAAGCAAGAGACGGGAGATAGTTGTTGCAAATTAGCAGTATGTTTTGAAGATATCTAAACTACCATCAATATAGAGCTATGGTGAAGTATTGACATTTCGCTTCTAACTGATAACCCAACATGGTGCATACAACTGTTACTCTATGAGAAGATTTTGCCGAAAATGACGGTGCTTTCCTAGGAAAGATGAAAGATGATAAACCTATACTTGGCTTATATGACGTTAGAATCACAATCTATAAAAGTATTGGACAAACTAGTTTATGTTTTTATAATAAACTGAGTATAGTTGTTGTTTTAAATTTGACACAAGCTCTTGTTACACTAGGCACTTACGAAATAGCTACTATTTCCATGAGTAGTGTCTTGATCATTCCACAGTTTAAAAAATTCATGGACCTGGTATATTACATTAATCACACATATGTTCTGCAATGTTATTTAAACCCGATTCTCACAACTAATGTACATTCTATACTTTTGCATTGTAGATAGGTTACTTTTAAAGTTTCTATAACAGGACACACATGCTCTATTATCATTGTAGGGTTATTACATACTAAAATTCCTAAGTTCCAAACCTTGCATCGAGAACATCTCACTCAAAATGGGTGATACAGTTAACTAATCTCATAAAAAATATAGGCGTGAAATGGTAAAGGCCGAAAATAAAGATTTTATGGTAACACCAAGTAAGGACCACTACAAAAAATTCACCTTTTAGCCACGCGTGAAACCGTGGCTAAATGGTCGCCAAACTGTGGCTATCACGTATTGGCCACGACCACTTAGCCACAGTTGGCTGCGTGCCCAACAGGGGCGTCGCCATGAAATTTGCCACAGTTTTAGCGTCCGTGGTAACATTCTTCTAGCCACAGTTTAGATTGTGTTTAGCCACGGTCTACCCATGGGTAAATTTGCCTACAACAAATCATGACTTACCCATATATTAGCCGTGGCTAGTTTAGGCGTTGGTAATTTGCTCATAACTTTCATACAAAATATGAACTAGCTACGGTTCAACCGTGGCAAAAGTGTTTTTTTTTAAAAGAACACAATAAATTCCCTGCTATATATCCCAATATCAATACACTAATTGATAGGCATTCACAGTGATCACATAATTATCACTTGATAAAATAAAATGATTTCCAAATGATTCACTGATCTAGTATACACAGAAAACTAGCTATTATAATAATGATCAAAGTTCCAACATTGTTCTACATATAGTCGCAAAAGATAAGAGCTTCAAACCTTGAATATTCATACAAAATACCACAAATACTAGAGTAATGAAAATACTAAAAGTTAAAAGAAATACCATATATATAGTTTGTTTTAAAATATACTAAAGGCTAAGAAGATTAGTTGAAAGTAGGCAACTCACTACCAAACTTAGCTTGTAAAAACCAATGAAGAGTTGTCAACTGATTCTCATTTTGCACAACCCGATTCTTAGTTCCCTTGAGCGTTTATTTGGTCGCCTCAAGCTATTTTTTGGTCTCTTTATATCCCTTTTCTTTCAAGGTTTCTACATGTTTCTCTAGGTCTCCAACACGTTGATGAGACATACTACTAGAGCTACCAAGATTCGCATAACTAATTGAATGCGAGGCATTCCAAAAGCATTTGAAGGGAAAACATTACCACCTAAACCACGCACACGACCAGAATGTTGAACTCCATACACTTTTCCAACGGCATCATTAAGATGAGCTAGTATCTTCATAGGAACACCTGAACTGGCAGCAAGTTCCTGATCTTTAGGTAGATGCTCCGATATCTTATCCTACAAGAAAAGGATATTTTCACAATACTAAAAGCAAATAGAACACACCCCAAAGCACTACTACTAACAGAAGTTAACAGAATCTATACAAAAAAAATATTAACAAAAGTATTACTACAAGACATCAACTATTTTGACTAAAACTTAAACGAAAACCACTTTCTAATGTGTAATGAGAGAACACAAAACAAATGATCACAATTTCAAAGTTATTTGACGAGGAAAGATGAAGAGCATCCTAGGAAGACACATTTGTAGCACAAAGGCAGCTGCTAGAACAATAAGCTCACTTCTCACCTACATTAGTTATTTTTTGTTTTTATTCTTTGATAGCTAGTTGAGTCTTATGCTAGGCTATGGACCAAAGAAAAAAGACAAGAATAAATCAACACCATAACTGAAATTTGAAAAACTTCTAATTCTTATTGTATTTATAGTTGAAGGCATATTTAAATGTACAAAATGAGTTATATTGTGTATGTACAGAACTTAGGAGTTATAAAGTTTCATATTTCTTCCTTTCCATACTTTCCTAAAGTAAAGTTGTTATGTAGCAGGAGTCCAATGGAGTAGCAGGGTGAATTGCGATGGGCTGAAAACTAATGCAAAGGAAATGTTTCATGGGATGCTATTTACAGAATGACACTTACAAGGATAATTTAACACTTGTGGCAGATGTCTAACTGAGGATATTCCAAAACCAAGAAGAATAGATGAAGTCTTGATCAAAATCATCCTTCAAAAGTATATTTGAGAGCCAATTTGAGACCTCAGTCGGCTAGAAAACTAGGAGAACTGAATGTATACCCAACGTAAACTATGTTGAAATTGTTTTTTTAAGAGTCTACATATGCAAGCCTAGAGATTTCGAATGAATATCGAACCTAGTTCTTCTGTTTTTATTTTTTCCTTGAGTTGTAAAGTCCATTTTGGTTATTAATAAAAATTATTTACCCAAAAAATAAGAGAAAGAAAGAATCAAATTATGAATAACAATTACCTTCATCTTATCCTCATTACAATGATGCACAAAGGTAGTCCAATCAATAGGATCCACATTTTCGGGAGGCTTGGCAAGTAGCTCTTCTTTTCTTTTGTTGGGGTAGAAGTTATTACATTGTAACTTTTATTTAAGGGCCCTTCACCTCTCGCATAAAGATTAAATCACCCATTTAAATCCTATCTCATAATCAAACTCAAAATTTTGTTTCAAATATGTTTGTATTCATAAATCAGTACCTATTGAAAAAAGATAACATTATTTGAATGGCAATAAAGTTAGCTAGTTACCTCAATAAGTTGCCATTGTCGTTTTGTTTTTCATGTGGTATCTTATCCCATCACTCAACTAATATGGGACAAAATACAAACATTTGAGAAAGTTTGCCAAGAAATCTCACAAGCAAATTTGAACCATTGTCACTTCCTTTTTCATCACCAAGTTCCACCATAATTTTTTAAATTTTTTTAAAAGTTCCAAACTCGATCTGATTGCATCTTTTGAGTAGTAACTTCTCCGATTGAAGTATCTATCATTTTAACAAGCCATTAACACAAATGAAAAGTAATGATAACAACAAACTAATAATAAAGCATAAAAAGCAACAATCAACTCTAATATGAACTTACTTCTAACCTCTAATGTGGACAAGTAACGACTCATTTTTCACTTGTGAGCTAGCTCCAACAAAACTTGAAGAAGAAATTAAATTGCCATTACCGAGAGTAGGAGCTGTGATATTCTCATTCACAACTTGGTCATCTAGTTGATCAAAATTTAAGGAAGTTGTGCTATTGTTGTCAGCTTGTCGTCCTTGTAGGTTTTCTAACAATGATTGTGCTCTTACAACTAGAAAACCCAATAAAACTTAAAACAAGTAGTAACGTATTTGATCCCAGATAGGCACTGCTCTTTAATTTTTCAAATTCAGATAGGCACTACTCTTTAATTTTTCAAATGTTGGACCTAAATTCATGTTCCTTATACAGAAACAAACAATAACTAGAACATGGTTTGAAATGCATAGAACAAAAAAAAGGAGATCTAATCCAGCAAAATTTCACACCTCTCAAGATTTATATATTAGTATATAGGTTATAGATTTATGGTAATAATTCCTCCAATGTATAATCTTATCTACAAAATTTGTGGTGAAAATATATCCATCAATCTTTCCAGAGGTGTGAGCATGATTTTTCCAACATAAATAAAGTAGGATGTATAACCTACCACTAAAATTTCTATTCTTTACAACAAGAAAACCCAATAAAAAAATATCAAATTGCAGATTTCAAAAGCTCATAACTTCAATAAACAAAAACTTTATCCAAAACCCTACATTCAATTTTGAGTTTAAATACACTAGATTCCAAAGATTTGTTACTTGAACGAAGCAAACTTACCACATTACACAACTATTTGAAGCGGCTTTTGACAGAAATCGACTTTGAAGAAGAGAGTTGAATTTTGGGCAGAAATCGATTTAGATTTTGGGGGTTGGTTTTGGGTGAAGTGAGAGAAAAGAGAGTGAGTAGAGGGAAATAATAGAAAAAGAGGCAAATGAAAAAATAAAGGGAGGGAATGAAATTTTACCCGCCTATTTTAGCCACAGATGTTTAGCCACAGTTCGTACTATGTAGAGAATTTTTTATTTTTTAGCTAATTTTGCCACAATTTTCGCAACCGTGGCTAA